ATAATATAAAATTTAAACTCTAATATAAAGAATTAAAAAATAACCCATGCGACACACAAGCAAAAATAAAATTACTTGATATATAAAGCATAAACTAATACTTTTAAATAATATAATTAACGTTGAAATTATAAACTAGTAAAATTGATCAAAATAAACACAATTATCATATTATTTATGTGACCAGGACAAAAGATTGTGTAACAATAACCATGTCGTGTTTAAAGACCAAAACAAAAAATAAAATAGAATCGAATAATCAAGTAAGTAAATGGGAGGAAGCCCATCCTATCAAATTGCTACAGTATTTTTTAATTTTCCACTTCTGTCCTCCAAGTTTCCTCATTCTATTTCAGAAGTCAAGAGTGGTTTTTTTGTCATTTGATACTGAATTTCCACTTTTGCACTCATAACTTTGTTTCTCCATTTCATGTTATGGGGGGCATGTCCGTCATTTTACATCTCCTTCCCATTGTGTCCTCCCATTTCTGTTTCTCTATTTCACAAGCTGGGGTGGTTTTTAGGTCATTTCAACAGCAAGGCAGTCTGATCTCCGTTTACCGGTATCAAATATTTTGTCTGTTGTATATAGAGTTTGCTTTCTCTGTTTTGCCCTTGCTACTTTGTTTCTCCCTTTCCCTCCTAGAAGTTGGCTTTTGAGTCTTTTTGTTCTTCTGTATTTTTGCAGTTCCAGGCAAAGTAGTTGGTACCGCACCATACCAGTCGGTATGACCAGTACATATCGATTTTGAGATTAACCGAAACGAAATAGTTTTAAAATTTCGTTTCAGTTAAATTTTGGACGTATCAGTTAAATTTTGATATATCGAAATTTTAGATACCGATCGTTACATTGAAATTTGACCGGTACATTATGCAAGAATTAAAAAAAAAAAAAAGAAAGATTCCCCAGCCAAAACGACGTCGTTTTGGCTGGGTGGCTTCTTCTTGACTTAACCTTGCAATTTCATATCGTGCCTTTCCTATTTTCTCCAGCAGCCGTCGATCTCTCCTCTGTTCTCCAGCTCCAGCCTCCAGCCGTTGCTCTATCTCCTTAAGCTTCTTCATTAAACCCTGCACTTTCAGATCGCACCTCTCCTCTGTTCTCCAGCATCCAACGGTCGTTGAGGCTTGAGCTCCACTCCTCGCAGGTGGTCCAGCCACTCCAGCCGCTGCCGGCGGTCCAGATCCAGCCACTACTCTCTCTTCCTCCACTCTTCAGCAACCCAGCTTCATCTTAGGTATCTTCACATTTTCATTCCGAGGTTACTTTTTCTGTTGGTATGCATACCAATGAAGTTAATATCGTACCGTACCGTACCGGCCGGTACGTACTGGTTTTGGCATTTGACCGAAACGGTACAATGTCAATTTTCATTTCAGTCAAATTTCGGGCATTTCGGTCAAAATCCGGTGTACCGGCCGAAATTTCGGTATACCGGCCGGTACACCGAAATTCCGACCGGTACACACTGCAAATAAAAAAAAAAAAAGGATTCCCCTA